TGCAGCATGCAAACTCAAGTGGCGGCATGTGGGATCTAGTTCCCTGACCAGGGATGGAACTCGGGCCCCCGGCACTGGGAGCGTGGAGTCTCAGCCACTGGACCACCAGGGAAGTCCCTGTTCTCACCTTCTTACTCACTAAGGCAAGAATTACATTTTGCCCTGGTCATCTAAAAACTACATGCTATATATATGGAATTTAAAAAGATGGTAACGCTAACCCTATATGCAAAACAGAAAAAGAGACACAGATGTACAGAACAGACTTTTAGACTCTGTGGGAGAAGGCGAGGGTGGGATGTTCAGAGGGAACAGCATTGAAACAAGTATACTATCTAGGGTGAAACAGATCACCAGCCCAGGTTGGATGCATGAGACAAGTGCTCGGGCCTGGTGCACTGGGAAGACCCAGAGGGATGGGATGAAGAGGGAGGCGGGAGGGGGGATCGGGATGGGGAACACATGTAAATCCATGGCTGATTCATGTCAATGTATGGGAAAAACCACTACAATATTGTAAAGTAATTAGCCTCCAACTAATAAAAATAAATGAAAAAAAATAAAAATAAAAAAATAAAAATTACATGCTACATTATACATTCAACTGTCAACAATGGTGGGAATGGGACGAAAGAGGATGGTAGAAAGAGGGGGGCATTCGCCTTTTACCATCAACATTTCTATATTACATGACTTTTACAATAAAAATGTGAATACAAATGTAAGTCGAAAATTGAATATAGAAACCCCATCAAATTATTTACAAATATAAGCAAGAAAGCTAGGATTACCTTGTTTTATGGCACTTAGAAATGGATTTTGAGCTCTGAAGAGCCCACTCCCACCCATCTGCTTCTTGGGACTCATCTGCAATAGAAGACTGGAGGGATTAAGTGTCCACACCAAATAAAGGCTACAGTATATGCAGGAGATGCAAGGTACACAAGTTCAGTCCCTGGGTCAGGAACATCCCGTGAAGAAGGAAATGGCAACCCACTCCAGTATTCATGCCTGGAGAATCCCATGGACAGAGGAGCCTGGTGGGCTATAGTCCATGGGGTTGCAGAGTCAGACAGGACTGAGTACACATGTGTATTTTTTTTTTTTTTTTGAAAAGAGTACTTTTATTTTTATTTATTTATTTATTTATTTATTTATTTTTTATCACAACCATAGTGTCTTTTTTTTTTTTTACCACATGTGTATTTTTTTAATCTTAAATTGTGATTAATATTTTATCAGTAAGATAAAAGCCTAACAATGATCAACAGTGAGAGAGCGGACTAGACTACACTTTTCCCTCATGTAATACTTGAATGAGAAAGACTGAGAGAAGAAAGCTAACCCTGACTTTGGACAAGACATTTAACAAACTGACAGCTCTGCAGTTTCGTGGAGCTGAAACAATGTCCTTTTTATAAACACATACACATGACGTCCTCACCTGGGAAACTGAATCTCAGAGTTAAACATGCAAGGATTGGTGCCCATCATTCAGAGCAGGACTCATATAATTCCAGCCAACAAACTCCTCTCTAGGTGGAAAGGAGGTGTCCAATAAACCATTAAATGTGCACTTAGCAGGATGTTAGCCATTCAGCCAGCATTAACTCATAACTGCATTCAAATGTGGCATCTGGACTTTTTCCTTCCAATAATCCATTTGCTTCTTGTTTTATTATTAAACTGCCTTTGAGTTTCTTTATAGTCTACACCCCACTTCCACTGTTTGAGATAAATACCCTTGAGAACACTGTTTTGTTTTGCTTTGTTTTTGCATCCTACTTATTTTAACATGGATGTGGAGAATCTAAAACAGACACAGCAAAAGCCGAAAATTTAAAAACATGCACTGAAAAATAGGATCAGTGTTTACTTGCTAACACATACCAGTGATGGGGGTTCCCAAAAAACTAGATAGGGGTTACCAACAACTAGATGACACTGTACAAAGCTCTTTCATATTTATTATTTTGTTCCATCTTCTGCCACAGTGATCAGACCAGAGTCCTAATGACGTGCAAAGATTGTAATCTTCTGACGTGTGTGCTCTTTATTCAGCCATGCAATAGGATGTTTCTGGAAGGGAGCTGGATTAGAGCAATCATAGATAAACATGCACAGACACAAGACGGAGAGCCTCGGGGAACTCAAGGGTAGGGAAGCATGTATGAGTCTCCTCCCCCACCCCAGGAAACTGGGCAGTCCTCTCTGCCTGCCTGATTCGGTCATCTTCTCACTCACTTCCTTTGCCTTCTGCTTTCCCCAAGCTCACAACCATACCAAGACTGTAGTCTCAGGCATGGCGTGAGTTCAAAGGGTACAATCCTGAATCTCAGCTGGAGCTCCAAAATTCCTGGGCCACATCTGACTGACCAAGTTTGGGTGAGAGGGACACCTCTGTTCAACTGACTCTAAATAAGGGATACACACCTCAGCATTTTTAATGGCAAAAATGTCATCCATTACCGAAATGTCCAACAAGAGAGAACTTACTAGAAAGTCACACCACACCCACAATAAATATAATGCAGCCTTTAAGATGCAGAATGATCAATGACCTGGGAAAGTGCTTACATTAAGTGGAGGAAAAGACCATACAATAGTGAAGACACAGAAGTGCATACATCAAAATAACAACAAAAATCACAGTCAGTTCTTGGCAGGGAATAATTTCCCCTTTTCCTTGTGTTTCTATGTATTTCCCAAATCTACAAAGAGCATGCTGCTATTACAGTTAAGATGATGTAGTTTTAAATATACACTCAATTCCTTATTATGATCATTGCTGGGTAATGGAATTATAGAGGGAGGATTTTTATTTTCTTGTGAGTTTTTTTTTTCCTTCATCCATGCGAACCATCCACTCGTGGTAAAAAAAAAAGACAACGCTTTGTGTTCAGCACATCATTTTGGCCCTCCTCCTGGACACACCTGATGACTACATTTCCCGCCTCCCTCACCACTGGCCTGAGGTCATAGGGCTGGGTTCTGGCCAATGGAAATGGGGACAAGTGATGCATACCCTAGCAGGCCTGCCCATAGACCCCTGCAGGATCTACCACTCCAACTCCTCTCCTTCCAGGGCAAGTCTGAGGATTCAAAGCTGGCACTGTCACAAGATGGGCAAGTCTGGGTCCCTGGGAACCTTCCTGCCATATTGAAGTAATGATGAAAATGACAAAAGTCCTGCTGTCCGAAACCACTGAGATGTTGGAATTGTTACAGCAGTTCATCTATCCCATTACTATTATCAGTAGGAAAAGACAAATTAAGATGCTCCTTCCAGAACACAAACCTGATCTATTAGAAAGAAGTCCTCAGGACGGCAGAAAAGGTCCACCATAACCTGGTCCCATGCACTTCACATCCCCAAAAATCTCACTGACATTCCTAAAGACTCCTAAAACCTCTGGACCCAATCTTCCCATATTTCGGCACCAATCACAACTGTGTTACAATTAGTTGGTTATTAATCGGTTCCTCTCATGAGACTGACCATCTCTGCTAAGGCACAGTTGTCTTTCTTTTTCACAGGTGTAACTTCAACACTTAATGCCATGTGCACGGCATATAAAGGATGCCAAGTATCTGCTGAATGAATTAATAATGTGCTCCTAAGTGTTCATAGCCCCTAAAACCATGAAATTTTAGTGCCTTGGAGGCAGGGAAAAGCAATTCTCATTTCATCAGTATATATTCTCTTCTAAAACAAATTTCAATCCCCAAGTATCTGTCTAGCCAGCCTAAAGCTTTTACAGTATTACTGAAAGGAAACCAAGAGCCAGGACTCAAAATAATATCCTTGTAAAAAAATAATAATAATATCCTTGTTAGCCTAGTACTGGTTCCTAGACTAAATCCTTTATGGGTTTGTAAAGCTTTAAAAAATCTGACTTCTTAAATTCAGAATTAGAATTTGTTTCAAGAATTTACAGTGAAATTACTCTTAGATATTTTAAATAGAGGTGGATTCTAAAATATTTCATATAGGAAACAAACTTAGAAATATAAAAATCACCACGATAACTCAAAATGCTCCATTTGTGAAGAGATATTCCCAGGAAAGCACTTTAGTTTATGCTCCTTGGAAAGTTCAGGTTTAATGATAGCCCTTCCATTAAATACAAAAACATTCCTTCAAAATGTTTAAACAGCATCTTGAGTCTTAGATGTTACTTGAACAGTATCCATGAAGAACATAGTTATGAAACCTGTGACTTTACCCACTGTATATAGAGAACTGGATTTTTAAGAAATAGTTTCTTCTTTAATATGGATTACCTCAAGATATGAAGGACCAAATTACTCTTTGGTTTTATTATATGGGAAAAACAACACACAGTCCTTTAGTCAAACAACTTTGTGATATTTATATTCCATTGCACAGGTAGAGATTATACAAATTAGTAATACAAGTTATTCCTTAAATTCCAAACAGCTTCTAAAATATCATTACACCAGATGCCTAGAATATTAAAACATCGAGGTGGAAATCATACTCTAAATAGTGAAATATGACACTGAAAATACTACACATTTTAAGTAGAGGATAAAATTAAAATGTGTGCTAAAATGCTCTAACAAACCAAGTAGCAGGGCAACAGCTACAAGGAAGTCCCTGTGGTCCATTTGACGTATGCATCTATGTGATTATTAGAGAACCTCTCTTCTTGAAAATGCATAATTAAAACACAAAAATCTGGGTACATGGATTAATGAAATCTAAACACTTCCTAATACCTAAGCTCTATGATGAAATGTACTATTACCTATGACTTCATATAACTAATTCAAGATAAAAGACACCACACTTGGAAAGAAAAAAAGATTTTTAAAGATAATGGTTTTAATTGAGTTAATGAGATGAAAAAATTGTGAAGCCCTATGTGCTACTTACATGAAAGAAGATTTTTTAAAAAATAATCACTGCACAAAATACAAAGGGTGGGGTTATGCTGTGGTATTAAATTTCTCTCCATTATGTTTTTCTTGACTGTTCAAGAGCAAATTAAAGTTTCCACGGCGAATCTGTTCTCAAAATGCCGAATCGTAGCACAGATGCTGGCTTCACGTTTCTGAATACCTGTTTGAAAGGAAAAGTTGTTTAAATTTCTGGTTCTTCAGTAATAAATATTCATATTAATCTTCACAGCTATTATTTAGACATATACAAATATTTTACTCTATAGTCCATTAACTTCTGTAGTTTGATTTGTTTTAACATGGCAGAAGATAATTTCTGATCTTTTCTACACTAAGTATCTTTACAGAGGTTGATAAAAATAACAATGCCATACATATAAATTTATGACCCTGAAGGTAACAGAAACATTCTATATCTTGATACGGTGGTGATCTGTTGAAATTCAGAACTACACACTAAAAAAGGGTGAATTTTATTATATGTAAAATTATGGCTTTAAAAAAATTATGAACCATGAAGTTCATTTCACAATATAAGACCATCAAGCCTCAGGTTTCAGCTAACTCATCATCAAAGTATCATCAAACAGTAGATCAGAATCATCAAAAGTGCTAACAAAAAGCCAGAAATGCATTTAACCAGGTGCCACAATTTCAAAGAAATCACATCATAGTGTATCTGCATGGCATGTCTTACTTTCTAAAGCTCTGTCACCTTTCATTTTATTTTTTCAATGATCTTGAAAAGAAATGAGATAATGTCATCACGAGAGAAAACAAAGGTTAAACGATTTGGCAAATCGCTAAGTTATAACAAACCTTAGTTATGTCAATGCTTTTAATTCTTCAGTCCAGTTCCTTTCTAACTAACCTGACTGTAGTTATCTTCAATGCGATCCAAAAGGCACACTCTGCTTAGAACCTGAGTACACACCTGAGAGCTACCTTAGAGGCTCTCTGGGTAAGCAGAACCCTTGCATAGCATGGCTGAACCAAAGTGGGAGGATGGAAAGGTAGACAGGGTGACCATATGGAAAGTGAGCCAACAGCACATCTAGGAAATGAATTTCACATTCACCTATTCTCTACATCTGAAAAGGAGTAGATTTAGAATTAAGGTGATTCTTCAGTAATCTAGAAATATTAAACAGTGTACAATATAGTTTTATTTCTTACTCATGGCCAATGTAATGGTAACAATGACAAGCTTACAACTAAATCTAATTTAACACAATGAAGTGAAACAAACTTTTCTGCCAACACTCTTAACATTCAAAAGTATTACCTTTAATGGTTTCTCTGCGTTGCAGTTTGTACGTTTCCTTGTCATGGCACAGTCGATAAATATAGAAACCCAGGTGGTCAATGTTTTCAATGCGATCAGTGATGACCATGTGTTCATGAATCAGATATGACTGAGGCAAGTAGGTCCCAGCCTACATTTGGAAAAGAATTATATTACATGGATATCTCAAAATATACATTGAACAGACAAAGAAAACAAACAAAATTTTTAGAGATTATATACAAAACAGAGATTGGCAAACTATCACCCACCATCTGTTTCTATAAAGTGTAACTGAGGACTTCTCTGATGGGCCAGTGGTTAAGAATCTGCCTGCCAATGCAGGGGACACAGTGCGATCCCTGCTCTGGGAAGATTCCATAAGCCACAGGAAAACGAAGCCCAAGAGCCAAAACTACTGAAGCCCACGCAGCCTAGAGCCCATGCTCCGCAACAAAAGAAGCCACCACAACCAGAGAAAGCCCGCACACGGCAACAAAGACCCATGCACAGCGAAAAATAAATAAATAAATAAATTTTAAAAAGTTTTATTGGAGTATAGTTGTGCCCATTTGTTTACATATTGTCTATGGCATCAAAACTGAATAGCTGCAACACAGACCTTATTTCTTAAAAGCCCACTATTTATTCTCTGACCCTTTAGGAAAAGTTAAATATGATATAATTTAAGAAATCACATTTTAATTTCAATAAATAAAATATTACAAGAGACAAGGAAAAAACCCAAACCACTAGTTTCAGTTACTTGTCATAAGATGCTTATTAGCTATACCATCAGTAAGTGAAGTGAAGTCAGTCATGTCTGACTCTTTGCAACCCCATGGACTGTAGCCTACAGGCTCCTCCGTCCATGCGATTTTCCAGGCAAGAATACTGGAGTGGGTTGCCATTTCCTTCTCCACCGTCAGTAAGACGGGCTCCTATAGGGCTAATTTCTCAATAAGGAATTCCAAGATCCTATAACAGCAGCAATAATAAGAAGTATCTGAAAGTTTTATACCTTTATGTTAATAAGTAACTCCAATAGGTTTTTGGGTGGCATGACAATGGAAGTGTTCAGAGGAATCACATAGCACTTATCCAGGTTAAGATCCAAATAGGCGGTGAGTTTCTGGGAAGAAAAAGATAATATTTTTGTTAGATTCATGTATAAATATTACAAATATATTTGTAATAATATTTGTAAACAGGCAGCAACTAGATTTTTAAGAACAATTTGTACCATTAAAATGGGTTGGCTTTAGAATGTGTCAGTCACTTGCATTTGTACCATTAAAATGGGTTGGCTTTAGAATGTGTCAGTCACTTGCATTTCAACAAATCAAGAATTTGGTAGGATAGGAATGGAAGTAGTAAGGGGAGAGGAAATTCTGCTACTAGTCAGTATTCACACAGTGATCAGATAACAACAAACTATTAAAACTAACTCCAATACCCTATCATTTGATTAAGAGACTTAGTCCCTGCACTTATAAACCATCATGCCCTCCAAGGCATCCATCTACTGTATATAAAAATTAACTTCTCTCTGATGCATCTAGAAAGTATTGGCTAGTTACTACCATCCACCAGAGAACTGGATGAAATTGACTGAAATAAGTCAATTAAATGACTGTTCTTATGGTTCAGATGAGAAACCATGATTGAGAAAGACTAACTCAACAGGATGGTTCTTAGGATTAAAATTAGTTAAACCAAAACATGTAAATATTTAGATTTCTAAAAGCAATTTAACAGCAGAGAAGGAACAGCATCTAGTGTGCATTAAGACAGACAAGGAAAGAGGGAGAAAAAGTAGGTTTCCTGAGGGTTAGCTTCAGACAAAGAGCCCACCAAATGTTGGAGTTTTTCTTGTAGGGCAGAAGGCCTTTTTTAAAATTTTCTTTTCAAACAGTAAACCATAAATAGAATAAGTTAGCCAATATTAAAACTACAAAAGCAAAAAAAAAAAAAAAAAAAACTACAAAAGCATCCATCAAGGGACCTGCATTCTTTTTACAGTTCAGGGCACCTGGCTCACCTTGTTAAAGTCATGAACAATATTGGCAGGGTCACTATCTGCAAACTCTGGGACAGGCACGCTGATGAATTCAACCTCATCTTCCTCAAAGATCTTGATATTTTCCTCAATGGTCTGGTAGCGAGCGGCTGGGGCATCTGCAGAAGGCTCATTTAAGATGACATCATCTTTGATGTACTTTATTCCACAGTAGTAGACGTCATCTGGCTATAGAGAGTTTAAACACTATTTCAGCAATGCAGTGGGAGACAGGTTTTTAAATGTAAGTATTACTTAAGCTGCCACCTTTATCTAAACAGCATTTTGCTTGCAAACTCCTACTTTTAGATGACAAGTCAGACAGTTTAATTACAGAGTTAACACATTCTTTAAGATCAGGTTTTGAAGTATTGTTAAAAAACTGGTTCAGAAGGAAAAAAGCAGTTCATTTCTCCTTTACTTTTTGTATTTGATTAAAAATAGACTAAAAGCAATTATCCATCTGATGACAAGTAAATCTGAAGAAACATTCACCTCTTCCTACCTGTAGACCTTCATTTTATAAAAGGAATATATTCAGAAACCAGGAATATTTTTCTTAAAGAATATACTTTTAATTTTGCTGTGATTCACTGATTAGACGATTTTTCTCTTATTAACTAAAAAAGGGATGGTTTTTCTGTCATTTCTACAGGCATACAGGTAGCTCTCATTTTTCCTTAAAATATATCACAATTAAGTGGAAAATATCAGATTACAGCCAATCATAAAGATTTTTTTTAAAGTAGGCATATAACAAAAAGATAGATCAACAAATATCTGTAGACAGTGGAACTGCAATGACTTTTTATATCAAAAATACATTTCTTATAAAAAACTGCATTAAGATGACTTGTATTTCACCAAAGTCTATCACCATGCTATTATCTCAAACATACAGAAAATGAGCACAAAACTTATACATCCTATATAGAATGTTTCATTATTTTAATAAAGTCTATCTCTCAACAGTTTCTCCAAATTCTGGTATATTAAATCAAATAAACCTATTGGATTATTGCCAGAGAAATAAGTCACAAAAGAGAGATCTTAAATCTTAATAATTGTAATCAGAAGAAAAAAACTGTCTCAATCCACTGGAATTCCTATTCTATAACAAATTACAAACAACTTTCATCCTAAATTACATCAGCATCATTGCCAAAGTCCCAATTCTTAAGATAAACCAATGGCTGAGAAAGAGGCAGAGAGAAATGCAACAAGTGTACCCTGGGCCCAGAAGCAAAAAGCTACCGTGGGGAAGCCCAAAATGTCAATCCAATAAATTATAGTTTATCAACATGACATCTGAGGCTGGTGTATTTATTCAATTGGCAACTGAAAAATCCTATAACTTAGCTATTAATTATGGTAGGAAAATTGAGGGTTAGTCAGTTTTGAAAAATCATCCAGCAATCTATATCCTTCAGTCAGCAACATTTCAAAACAATGTTATTCTGCTTTTAACAACTGTCTAATAGGCTCAGTGAACTTATGCTCAGGGAATTTTTGAACATAACCAGAAAACAGAACCACCACTCTGACTAAAAGGCCACGGACAAAAAGCACAGACTTAGAATTAAGTTTGGGCCAATTTTCTAGTACAGGTGAAGGAAAGGCAGAAGTGTCCTTAGCATTTTCCCACTTACTTGAAGTGCAAAATATTTGTACAGGTATGCTCCCCCTAGAATGACACCCGCGAGCATAAACGCCAGTCCAAAGCACATGCACCAACACCAAGCTCTTCTTTGGCCAACTGGAACCACTTCATCTGGGTCCTGAAATGTGAAAGACTGATGGTCAGTATCTTATCTCCAGTCAGAACCACAGAAATGTCAAGCCTGAAAGAAACCTTAAGAATTATCACTTCCCACCTGCCACCCATACCTCTAGAGCAATCAATAACACACTCAACAATTTCTACTTCCTGTGCATTAATTTTTGTGGTTAAAATATCTTCTAATATTTAAAAATTCAGAAAAGGCTACAACCTTGTCATGCAAAATTATGGTGCTGAATCTTGTGTACTGGGCTTCCCCTATGGCTCAGTGATAAAGAATCTGCCTGCCAATGCAGGAGATTCAGGTTAATCCTTGAGTCAAGAAGATCCCCTGGAAAAGGAAATGGCAACCCACTCCAGTATTCTTGCCTGGAAAATTTCATGGTCAGAGGAGCCTGGCGGGCTATAGTCCATGGGGTCACAAACAGTCATACACGACTGAGCACGCACACACATCTTATGTATTATAACTTCAGGGTATGTGAGGTTATTCACAAAATTATATGTCAGCCTGCTGCAGGTAGTTAATATTTCACACTAGGTACAAAGCCATTCCTAACCAAACACAAGAAAAATTAACAGGAAAACTGGGACAGACCAAATAATATTAAACAGATTCTTTAAATAATCAGAATCTCGAAGAAGTAGGACAAACATATTCAGAAATAATTCTATTAATGCACTGCTCTACCCTAAAGAATCCCAGTTTGTAACAAAGTTTTTCACTTTAAAGATGGAGTAAAAACTTGAGGGAAGACTCAGTAAGAAAAACTTAATGATTAAGAGACATACAACTAGTATGCAATTGTTAGAATTCTGATTCCGACCCATTCAAGGAGGTAATTTAGCCCTGAAACATCACCAAGGATCAGGATATGCACAGCCCTTAGACACACTCGCCCTTCTCACTCAGTCCTTCCACCCTGCCATTTCAAAGTTACAGCTAGTTTCTTATCTGTACCCAGGTTTATGTGCAAAGAGCTAACAAATAAATGAGATTAGTTGCTGGTGTTATATAACCAGTGACTCAAAAAACAGTACAGACAGCAAAAGAGAGGCCCCAATGGACTTGAAACCAACATAATAAAAGATGATCTAGTAAGTAGTATGTGTGTGCAGCCTCTCAAGTACTGTATGTAACTCTGACCTTTACTTGGAAAACTCATTTGGGATGGGTTAAAGGACAAAGTAGACTTGACCCCACAATTACATAGATAAATAGGATATAACTTAAGAGTTAGGAATGAAAACTGTATGAACGATACTGGAGGGAATTCTCTGGCAGTCCAGTGATTGGGACTCCGAACTTTCAATGCCTTGGCCCAGGATCGATCCCTGGTTGGGGAACAGGGATCCTGCAAGTCACGTGGCACAGACAAACCAAAACAAAACAACACAGAAAAAAAAACACTGGATATAACTGAAGCAAGAATTCAGATAGGAAAGAATGAAAGCTAAAGTTACATTTTCAACTCTAAGATGAGGAATCTTAACTTGATATCACTCAGGAAAAGCCCAAGCCCAGATGTCCCAGCCAACCAAGAACAATTTAAGGCACCTGGGTTGGTTGAAGTTTAAACACCGTAGAAAAAATGTCTCTCAATCTAGGGATTAACTCAGATGCTGTGAGATCATCACACTTTGCTGTGGTAGGTGTACCTGTCAACAGACTGTATGTATACTTAGAGGACAAGTGCATTGCAAGGAATTAGAATGTACCAGAGAATAAACCTAAGGAATTTATCAGGTCAGGTAAGACATCCCATCTGTGAACAGAAAGTTACCAGAATTCCACGGACTCATCAGGTATTATGAAAGCCGAATACCAAAGAACATAGAGTGTTTTGCTTGAGCCCTTGTCTGACACAAATATCTAAGAAGACAGGAAACAGTTCCAAGGATAATTAATTTTAGGGTGGAGGCAGGGTGGGGAGATGAAAATGACAGATGGAAACAGTAACTTCTAAACATTTGGTATCAGCTGCTGAGACGTCAGATGTGTGTATAACACCCCCGTTTCGGCAGGCCCTCTTCAGTAGTAGCACTTCAAGCAGCAGCCAGAGCACGGGCAGACCCTTGGAAACGAATATGCAGTCCCAACTGCTGGTTGGATGACAAGTCTCCAGGCCTTTTGCTCTCTCATTTTTAACGGGTCAACAAGCAATATTTTCAAGACTAAATTATAAATGCCTACAATGGGCCAAGTGCTATGGGTATATAGCCACGGCCAAGAAAGAGAGCATTCAGGTCAGCCTGGAAAATCAATCTACAAAAAAGAACATAAATATGATACAAGCGCTAATAGGAGAAGTAGAGAACACAGGAGGACTGATTGGGAAAGACTTCCCAGGGGAGAAAATACTGGAGTGGAATGAAGGACAAATACTCATTAACTGTGCAGAAGGTGGAGTTAAAGGGCCTCATATGTAGGGCAAAGAATGAATAACCAGAACGCGTTACTTCTCCAGTCACTTGGGGTATGGCTAGAGTGCCCAATATGGTGGCAACTGGTGCAGAGAGAACGGAGGAGTTACTGGGGCAGGTCACAAAGGTACTTTATGTAACATGCTATCTCTTGTTCATTCAAAAACCACATTTCAGGGCTACGGCAATAAAAATTTAAATTTCTCAAAAGAATCTAACTTATACAATCATTTATTGCATAAAAGAGGTACCAGGTCTTCAAAGTTTAACTGATCTCTTGTTTTCTCTAAATTCCTACAAGGTTAGTATGGTAGCTCCAAGCCAACCTTGGCATTTAGTTGGCACTCAATAAATAACTGATGAGTGGATAAAATTTAAAAGCTTTAAAACTTGGTTATTTTTTAATGACCCCCAAAGTTACATCAATAGCCAGCATGGTAATGGAAGGTGGGGCCAACATAAGAATTTATTAACCCACAAGAGACTGTGGCTCTTTAGCAAAGAATAGTATCGCCCTAAGTACTTAGCCCAGTTCAACATTAAGGGCCTGTTATTTGCAAAGTACTGTGCTACATCCTGTGGGAAATTCAAATGTGATTAAGATATGGCTGAGGCCTTAAGCAATTTACAGTCAAAATTAACAGTATGCATGACAGACTGTTAAATGATGTTCCTTTATTACAGTCTTAGTTAGTCATGGAGAAGGGATGAAAGTATATCCAAGATAGAAAAGTTTTTAACCTAAGTGATTTAAAAATGTATTTTTAGTAACTAAATTTTAAAACTTGAAAAAGTAAGCTCAGAGGGGAAAAAAGCCACGTGTAAGATTAAAGAAAAGCCCCATGACCATCTCAAAATATGTAGAAAATGCATTTGATAAACTCTCACTCCCATTCATAATAAAATCTCTTTTCAAACTGGAACAGTTGAAATTCATTAACATGAAAAATGTTAATGATCAAAAATCTGTCCCAAGCCTCACATGTAACGGTTAAGCTTCAGAGTTAAACCATAACCTTTCAAGTCACGAATATGAGGATGCTCACTAGAACTGATTCTGTTTCTGTCTGAACAGTGTACTAGAGATCCTATATAGTTCAAAAATGACAGAACATGAACAGAAAAGATTAGAAAAAAGAATACAAAGCTGTCATTATGTTAAGTGATATAACTGTCTATGCAGAAAATCAGAAAGCCACATTATTCAAACTAATTAGCGTTCAGCAAAATTGCTGACGATCAGTAATGAAAAATCAACAGGTCAAAGATTTATACATAAATAGTCATAGCATCATTATTCATAATAGCCCCAAACCAGAAACAACGTAACTATCCACTAACTGATGCATGGATAAATAAAGTGTGGTTTAATCACACTGAATCTCAAAAACATTGGAGTGAAAAAATTCCAATTCAAAAGACTAGCTATGAAAAGGAAAAACTACAATGACAGAAAGCAGCTTAGTGGCTGTCAGGGTGAAAGGAAGATAGAAGAGCCACAGGGAAATTTTTTAGGGTGATGGAAATGTTTCATATCATGAGTGGCTGTGGATATATGACTTCATACAATGACCATAATTTCAATCAAACTATATACATAAAACAAGTGTACTTTACTGTCTGTAAAGTTGTTTTTTCTTGTTTTTTTTTTTTTTTTTGGCTGCTCTGGGTCTTCGTTGCTGTGCTTGGGCTTTCTCTAGTATTGGGGCAGGGGCTTCTCACTGCAGTGGCTCCCCCCGCTGCACAGCATGGGCTCGAGGCTGCACGGGCTTAGCTTCCCCTTGGCATGAGGAATCTTCCCAGACCAGGGACTGAATCCGTGTCCACCACACTGGCAGGCAGACTCCCAACCACTAGATCTCCAAGGAAGTCCTACTGCCTGTGAAGCTTATTTCAATATGGGGAGTGAGAGAAAAAATTATCAACTGAGTTCCTATACACTTGGCAATAAAACAAAGTCTAAACACCAGCGCTGGAGAAAGTGTGGAACAATGAGAATTGAGAACTTTCGCACAGCTAAAGACAGGAGCTGGTACAAATGTTTTGAATGCCAATCTGGAAGGATCTAATACAAATAAAGGTATGTATGTATCTTACAAGCCACTAATTCCATTCCTGGCACGATAACCCTAGATAAACACTTTTGTACACAGAAAGAGGCTCAGTAACGGTAACTGCAGAATGGTCATTAAGAAGAAAATTGGAAATAACTTAAATGTCCATCAAGTAAAGAATAAAGTATTATAGGTTCATACAATTAAAGTCTAAATGAAACCAACTAGCACTGCTGACTTTGAGATTAATCTTAGAAACAGAATTCTGAACCAAAAAAAGTCAAGTTGGATTAAAAAATGACACCACATATTTAACACTTAAAAAAACATTTAAAAAACATAAATGGTACTCTAAACTCTTTTTTTCTTTTTGGTATGTTTGGATTATTTCATAATTAACCATCACAGTAAGAAAAAGGAAAACCACTCATGAACAAGAACATCTTCACTGAGATCTATAACTTCACTTGGCCTAATTTAAACAAGCAACAGACATTTCCTCCCATGGTAATGCAATAAA